CTGCCGCATACTTCCAGTATAAGTAAGAACACTTTCATCTGCAGAAACACTAAGATGACTGCAGATGCTGGGTGTATCAGGGATGAATAAGTGACTGAGTAGTGACAGCTGGTAAACCGCTTTGTGGCATGGTGTGGGAATACAATCAAGAACCATCATATTGACATTATGATATAAAAAAAACTTTGTTTGGACACCCGGCTTGAACAACAAACAATATGCATACAGAAAATAAAAACAAAGAAAAAATAAGCATCCTTACAGTACAAGACAACTTTAATAAACTTAAAACACCCTTTGAATAAAAAAACAGAAATTTAAAAAACCTTTGGGCAAAAATGGAGGCGAAAAATGTGGATGATGGTAGAAGATATAAAACATCCTTTGAAAAAAAAATTAATGCATGGAAATATAGCATTCAACATTTACATAAAGTTCAGCTTGTGGATGACTAGTCTATTAAAAGAAACTAGTGGTTAGTACTTACAGTAATGCCAATAGGACAAAGAAGGTTATTGTAGAAAAATGAGTGTGTCAAGGATTATTTCCATAATGGGAGAGGTGCTGGAGGTGGAAAAGTTTGAGGGTCTTGGTGTTTTCCCATACAACAGATAGAAATGGAAAGGTAAATCCAGGTTGGTGTCAGGAAGCAGATCCAGGTGCAGTGATCAGGCAGAATCAAGCAGGAGTCCGAAGACAGGTCCGGCAAACAGATCAGAACGGGAACAGCCAGGCCCAAGGGTGCAAAGGAAGAACGGGTCAGGATCAGGCAATCAGAACACAATCAGGTACAGTACGCTAGACAACCTCTCACCAAAGGCTTGAATAATTTTGACACTGATGAGTGGAGCAGGTGACACAGATGAATGGTGATGAGAAACTGGGCAGAGCTAGGCAGGTGAATGGAATGAATAATCAAGCCAGTCATCAGTGCCAAGGTCATGACAGAATCTGGCCGTCAGAGGACACAGTTGTTGGATTTGAACACACCGTCCAACTTCACTCAATTGCTTTATTCTTAATTTGACACCCATGTAAAGCAAAAACTAGCAACAGATAAAGTTAATGATTTTTGCAATACCTGCAATCTGATTTTTTTGGAAAGATAGATTTAACGCAATCTTTTGACACACACAGATGCAAACATAAGATGTACAAATTACTGATAAACACATCTTTTGATATATAGTAACTTCATGCTCACTAAGAGCTGTGGCCCTCTAGTGGCCTGGCTGTTTACTCCTTTCTGAGTTACCAGTAGTACCTACTGGCAGCATTAACCTGAAGAAAAAGTTGTTTCGGTTAGTTTGAAGGACTTCCTTTTTCTTACTGGTGTTTGATTCCATAAACCTTTCCAGCATAGATAGTGGTGTTTATTGACATGGACAGTTTGGACCTATTACAGGGATACATTAAAGAATATTTATACATGACCGTTTTGCAGATCTTCCTGCTCAGATTCAGCAGGCGTGGCTGGTCCACGCAGGAAGTGTCACTGTGAACAGGGTTTTGGTAGCAAAGCTCTTTGTTTCATTTTCCTGTTTTGTGAAATAAAGGGCACGTATCAATGCCATACGTTTCTGTGCATTTTTTTATACCTTATATATATATATATATATATATATATACTATACATACCTTTCTGTATTGTCAAAAAGGTCTTATCATCTTTGGCAAAAGAAAATAAGAAAGGAAAAGAAAAAGTAGAAAGGTCGATTGGTACTCGTTATCTTTCAAACTTTAAACATTTCAACGTTTTCAGGCTAAAAAGTATGATATATGTCATTTACACATAATTAAATCCTGTATCTTGTCAGGCAAAATAAGTAGGCAACAATGTATTATGCAGCATGACATTAAGCAAAGCACAAGAAGGCGGAATAATCACATCTGGACAAAGTCTTTGTGAACGCATCTCCATGGTAGGCCAGGAGAATCAAAGAGACGACTCAAACAGTTTTTAAAGCTTTGAATATGTAATCAGCAACGTGCCTTTCCACGCAACAGCAAAAGTGCAAAGCAACACCACATCCATAATGCACATTTGGTATTTAAAGTCTCCGTGCCTCATGGTCATATTTGTACTGAATTGAATTTATTACAAAATGTGCAGTGATATGAAACATGTAGCTGCAGGGCCTCTTTTTTCACATGCCAGTGCAGGAAAAAAAAGCATCAGTTGAAGAAATAAACAGAATATGTGAGTAATAGCCCACTTCTCACGGGCTCGTTGGAGGTGAGCAGACTAAATCTCTCACTGCTAAAAAAAAAAAAAAAAAGGAAACGTATCCATTAAATGGATGAAGTGGAGGTTGTTCCTCGGTTTCTTTCACTCCAGAGTAAGCTAAAGTTTCGGAGTGGAGCTGCGAGCTCCAACATGGGCCAGAACTCTACGAAAAGCACTGTTTCCTCATGATTGATTGCCCACTGAGTGTCGTATTGTTCTTTCAAGGTTGATTGAAACTTTAACCTCATTTTTAATAAGAAAAAATTGAAGAAAAGCTTGAAGTATTTCAGGCCTTGAATTTTTACAATGCAGCACTGAATTATGCAGCAATCAGTCAATTATTCATCTCTGTGGCCGTGTTATGGCCATGCTTTAAAAAGCATGCAAAATGGGAATGGGCCAGACATGCTGTGTCAACACATTTCACTCAGAAGTGCTTACAGGAGAAATTTCTCTCTCAATGTCAATTTCATATTTCTTTTTGTGTGTTTCTAGAGCCGTACCTGTTCTGAAACGATCCTTGTAGAAAACCCAGAGATCCCCAGAGAAAAACTGAGAGACTCTGCAAATATCTAATCATTAAAAATATGTTTGATGTGACTGAAACAATGTAAGAACTCAGACTGCAAGCTTATGTTCTGATGCGTGACTGCTGAGCATGGTCGAAGAAGTTTTGTTTATTAGACAGAAGTAGAATGGGAATAGGGGACACACAAGTTGCATTAAGTCATTTGCTTAACAGTACATACAATTACATATGTAATCAACAGTAAGCATAGTAAATTAGTTAATATTGATCTTAATTGGCATTTGTTTACAAATTATGCACAGTAAGTATTTTTCCATTCACCACTTTGTACTTCTTCTCCCCTAGGTGTCTTGTATCCAACTTATGAAGTTTGTGCCCACTTTGAAAGAAACATTCAAGTAAAAGTACCTTTCTATACTCTTATTGTTGTGTGCTACAATAAAACATATTGTATATTACTCGAATAAAAAATTTCTACTACCAAGAGGTCATTTATATTTTTGTTCTAATGCATCTTATCTATTAATCGTTAATGTCCTAAACAGAGATAATCAAATGAAATAAAGGAATGCAATTAAAATTATTTAAGAAATTCATATTAATCAATTCGATTATACAAGCGTTTCGGTTATCTATCTCCTAAAAACACCAAAAATATTAAACTACAAAGAAAAAACAAAAATGCTAATAGTTTAAGCTAATGTTTACATTGTTTCTTTTTTGAATAAATTGAAGTAACAAGCAAATAATGGCAACATATAAGTATAACACGGTGTTCAATATAGCAATTATCCCATAACTTTCCTTTATAGAGATACAAATTTGCTCTCAGAATTGGAAACCAAAATACTGGCCTGATTTCTATCCAACTGCGATGGACTGGCGACCTGTCCAGTGTATTCTCATTATGAGTTCGTATGAAATCGTACGAAAAGTTATGCACCGTAATTTCGTACGTTTTTGACGTTTTTTTCGGCGTATGTGCATGCGCATCTTACGCACCATTCAAGAATATAGAATTTAAAGTACAATTAGCCCTAACCCTGACCCTAACCCTAAGATATAAAACAGCAAGCAACGTAGTTAGAGACATGAATAAGTGATTATTGCGCTGTTTTTCCCAGTTTTACGTTCGTCCACGGATCTGCTTTTTTTGTCTGTCTGCCAGCGCATGCGCACTGATCTGGTTTTTTCAGGAAAAACGTCCAAAACGTACGAAATAGTGCGCATTACTTTTCGTACGATTTCATACGAACTGATAATGAGAATATGTTGCCAGGGTGTACCCCGCCTCTCGCCCGTAGAAAGCTGGAGATAGGCACCAGCACCCCTCACAACCCCACTCGAGATAAAGCGTGTCAGAAAATGTATGTATGTATGGATTTCTATCCAAAAATATGTGCAGTGTTTTTATGTGACAAAAAGTACCCAACAGAAATTTCGGAGGACGACCAATGCAACAAAGGTGCCACTTTTAGTTTTTGATACTTTACTTTGGAGAGAGCAAGCATTAAAATCAGTCATTAAAGGATGAGTGGATAATCATTTTGAAATTAAGAAATAAGACAGCAACCAAGACTAAGATGAAACGACGTAACCCCCCCATTCACATAATACTTCTGCTTGACAACAAGATTGTATTTATATCGTTAATTTCTCTGATCATCCTAATTTCAGATTGTGACAGATACATGATACTTCATTTTACGTAATTTCTTTGTCTATTTTTCCAACAGTTTGCAAAAACTCAAAATAGCGGTAATCCTGACATGACATCACACTATTAAAAAAAAAAATGTACAATCTAAATGTTATGACAGTTAAAGGGTACTGTATCATCTCTATAGCTAAGATGCCCAGGAAAAATAAAACAAACTATGCTGCCTTTTTTGCAATCTGCATAAGTTAGCTCTGTGTGTGGTAACATATGAACAACTTATAAACTATAAAATTAAACCCAACTTCAAACAAAAATTAAACAAAGCAGTAGAGAAAAAATGAAACATTTATTTTTCTGTTAAAAAGACAGAGAAGAGGGCTCACAAAGCTAGAGAGCTGACTGAAAATATCTACAATACACAGAGAGAATTTACAAGAGAGCCAGTTTACCTCTCCACATCACCTGATAAAATCAGGCCACATTAGTCACACCGATCCTCCTGCTTCTGGGTAAGCACCCTCCGCATCTTCATCATCATCATGAAGGAACTCAAAAGCCTCAGACAACATATGTAACTCACTCCGTTTATCATCAACATGTTAACTTTATTTGAATTTGAAGTACAATGAAAGAGATGATTCGAGAAGCTATATAAGTTATCAGTGACAACAGACTTAGACAATCCATTAAGAACAAAAAGGAACAAACACATCGTGAACATGGGATACGCTTCCCTTCTTCCTCCTCCTCATCTTTTTGATTGTAACACATAAGGTCTAAATTGTTTAGCAGATAAAGGACTGACATCAGCTTATGACTAGAGAATATACACAGGTGTTGCAGCACCACAATTCAAAAGTCTTTAGGGAAAGAAAATGTTTTTTTTTTTTATTTGTTTGTTTTTTTCTTTTTTTGTCATGTTCTCGCATCATGAAACACTCTGAAACCAAAACGTGTTAAACACAATGTAATAAAGTGGTGTTCGCTTTTTAAAAAGTAGCGTCCTTAACTGATTGCTTCAAGCTGGCAGGTGATGATGATCCGACCAGATACTTACAAAATAAAAAAACAACAACAAAGCAATAAGGGGTGCTGATTTTAAGAGTGTCTCATAAAGACAATGTACAGTAAATTCCAAGAAGTATGACCTCTTTTACAAAGATTACAGTACTATCAACAGCGAAGGTCTTCGTTTTGAGAGTAAAACATCTTCAATTGGGATTTTTAGAATTGTCTGGGCTTGGGTGAATCCACCCTGGTTATTTGTTCAGCACAATATAGGATTTATTAAATATCATAATTCCAGGACAAACATTTACATGCCTGCATGCTTTCTCACCAGAAAATGGCAGCTATAGGAAAAGATGATGGCTCAGAGATAGAACGAAAACAAGAAAGGTTTATATAAATGGTGGTATTGTTTGCCTAATAGCTCTACTGCATACACAATACCTCTTAACGTTATATACACATACCTTAGGAGTCCACTGGGGTTCAGCAGAGTGAGTCTGTCTATCTTTATCATTAGCTCTTGTATGTACAGTGATGGTAAAAACGGAACTTGATTGTATTTTCATCTAATTTAGAAAACATGAAAATCGAACATCAGTCTTCTTTCTTTTGATGACGTGGATATATTCACATCCCCCCCGCCCTCCACAAATGTTCATCTCTTCGTCTTTTTTTTTTTTTTTTTTTTTTTTTTTTTTTAGCATCTCATGATTTATTTCGAAATACAAAAGCAAAACTTCAGTCGAATTTTCATTTCAAAGCTTTCTCGCTGGCTGAGATACAGTATAAAAAAAAATCTTCAGTGCTGTGAACTTATCAGGAGTTATTACCAACAATGCACCTTGGGTACATTTTGACTGTGCTCGGTTATATATGTTTATCCTTCACGTCTTGTCAAAACCTGCTTTATCAGACTACTTTAGGTTTTTCCTTCCGTGGTGAGAAAGACTTCTTTGTTGTACATTCACAATCCTCCAGCGTTTGGGGGGTGGGGGGGATGAACACAGCATTACCATCTACGAGCAGCTTGAACTCTCTTCAGCTAAATCGGCGTGGGTTAGGGTCTTCCCCGGAACCTTCATGGTTTCTTTTTTTTTTCTCTTTCAGTCCTTTTATTTCATTTTATTTACTTTTTGTTATAAAATCTTTCTGTCCTCCAGCTCCTTGCGGCCTTATCAGTACATCACTGCGGTTTTCAGGAACAGTCTTCCATCTGGAACAGAAAACACACACACGCACAGACACAGAGAAGAGGCAAAAGATTAGCCAACAGCTAACAATCTGCTGACGCAAATGCGCTGTTCAGGATGTGATTGTTGATGAAACGCAACTTTGAAATATTGCCCTCTAGTCTTTGGATTTGAACGGCATTACTGTGAATTGATAATCTGATTTAGAGAGAAGATAAAGCTAGAAACCATGGAAAATGTGATTATATATATCATCTACAGTGATTAACTTTACTGTTTTCAAGAAATACAAATTTAGAAAACCCAAAGTAAGTTGACTTTATTCTGGATTTTTAACAATGACCCTCTTAGCCTCAAGTTTTAGCATTTTTTTAAGCTTTTTTAAGTTTAAACTTAAACTTAAATTAAATTTAAGGGAAAATAAAGCATGATTTCAAAAGTTTATTGCATAAATATTTGAGGTGTTAATCCAACCATCAGTCACAGTTCTCCTTGTATTTTATGTGTTCGTAGACAGTTACTGTACAGCAGCACATCTCCGCTTGGCGCATCTCTTGTTAGATACTAAATTGGATTCATGTCTGGGCTTTGACTGGGACATTCCAACATGTTAAATATGTATAGATCTAAACTGTTCCTTAGTAACTTTGTCTGTAGTTTTAGGATCGCTGTCCTGCTGGAGGGCATATTCTGGCCCAGATTTAGGTCCTACAGCCTCTGACACCTTTTCTTTCAGGGTAGCTCTGTGTTTGACCCAGAATCCCATCACAACATCTCTGAGCTGGTATGTCCCTGTTAAACAACAGGCATCCCAACATGTTGATGCTACCACTGCCATATTTCACTGTGGGTATCCAGGGTTACATCCAGGGTCATTTTTTTGCTACAAACACACCAGTTTAACCAAATATTAAATTGTTGTGTCATTTGGCCAGAAGCCTTTGTTCAACATGTTTTTTTTTGTGTCCTCAACATACTTGTGACAAACTGCCAGAGAGGGTTTTCTATGGCTTTTATCTCAACAAAAGAGTTTTTTTCTCACCACTCTTCCCAATGGCCAAATTTATGGAGTGTACAACTTTTTTGTGTGTAAAGTTATTTTTTCCACTTGTGGATCTCATAGGCACTCTCTATACTGTAGCCTTCTCTTTTTATTGCTCTCTCTTCCCGACCTGTCAGTTTAGTTTGGATGGACTGCCTCGTCTTTGCAATTCCTTTTGTCTTTTTGACTAAAGTATTGTTTTCCTTTTTTTTTTGACATATCCAAATGCTTGTGCCTAATGTTTTACTCCAATTATTTTTCATTTGCTTTTTGACTGTAAGGATTTTTTTTTTTCATTTCTGAAAACTGTTTTTATTTTCCTTCTTTTCTATATAGTATGTATAAACTACTCTGTCTGTAATATAAAAGCCCAAATGGATTGCATTGCGGTTTTATGGATGCAAAGAGACAAAATGTGGAAAAGTTCAAGGATAGATGTTGTAACCTGCTGTGTTATGAACAAATCTAAACCATTTGAGCATCTGTGGCCTTCCGCCCAGCTGCTGTGCCTCTTTAAAGCATAATCCTGCTCTTAAGTTATAAAGTGATATTTCCTGTGTGGATACTGTAAAAGGCTCAGGTTATCTCTAGACATCTCCTACGAGTTACGAGCTCCGGTCACTGCCAAGTGGACGGACGCTTTTCATGCCTGGGTGTTAGCCTGAGCGAGCAGACGGTAAAAAAAAGATCTGTTAGGCACAGCTCCGGAGCCTGTCTGACGTTTATTACCTTCGCATTTTTTTCCCTCCCCTCTGTCTGCCGAGGAACGCTTACAGTTAATGCCTTTAAGAAGAGTCTCTGTGGCAAGCAGGCCTGAATTATTCAGCGTTAAAGAGAGAGGCCTACAAAGACATTTAGCAGCTCTGCTTGTTGGACATGACACAAGCAGAGGGGGACATCAGAGGGAGTGTTTGACTAGCTGGTTATAATGTCTTGATGCACGGTACATCTGGGCTGCAGCTTCTTTCTTTTCTGTTATTTAGGCCTCCTTAACCTTTCAGGATGGGTTTTATGTATTGCACACAGACAGAGACAACAAAAGCTTGTTGTGTGTGTCTGAATGTGTACACAACTCATGGGTGGGGGTGGGGGGTGTTGTAGACAAACACACAAGCTAATTACCCAGCACTGCCGTAGGTCTCAAAGGCATAGCACTATGGGCTGCTTCTATTCAAGCAACAACCGCTGAGTTCTGCGCAAAAGTCATTACAGCGTGAATTGCGACTGCATGTAGGGTGAAACGCAAAAGGTAAGGGAGGGGAGGAGGGGAGTTGGAGAAGTGGGCTTGACACAAAAGGATGAAACATCACCTCACTGGCTCGGCTCGCCTGCCTCTGCACGGCTTCACAGCTGCAGCAGCAATTTATAGGAGGGGTGCTAATGAAAACAAAGACCATTTGATCATTTGATGGATGATGACATTTAATCCATTGTCGCGAAGATGTCAAATATCGCAGCGTTTGACTTCTAATAGATCAAATCCACGAACGGTGGGGGGGTTTATGAGGAGGCTGATTCAGCGTCAGCGGAAATGTTGAAACATCTGCTTTCGACTGGTGACGTCTCGACTCGAAGGCAGTCGTTAAAAGGAGGCAAAACTTCAGGATTTTCACATTCAAAATCAAGATGAAAAGTTCATTAAAGAGAATAAATATTTCATTAGGTGCTAAATAAAACAAGGGGAATTTTTGGCTTCTCTCAGCATAAAATTCCTTTGAAAGATTAATTAATTCATGTAAATTATGCAAATTATGCCCATGCAAATATTTTATGAAGACAATTAAGGGATCCATTAATTACAGTCTTTTTTGCTTCAGTGACATTCATTCATTTAATTTTAATTTCACTTTAACTGTTTTGATGTTTAATGTTGCAACAAAGAACTTTATCTGGCTGCGCGCAGGGTCGTATGAACCCTGCCGAACATGTTGAGTGGGGATGGCTGCAGGGTGGGGTGAGGGTGATAGAGGGGGGAGATAGTCGCCCGCTGCCAGGCAGCGCCAGGGCAAGGCGCGGCCCCCAGCAGCTTGCCTGCCTGCAAAAAGGGCTTCGCTCCCTTCCTTGGACTTGATTCAAAACACTGCAAAAAGCAATTAATAAACACAGACTGTGTTAATATCGCAGAATTAGAGAAGTGTGACAAAAGACAAATAGAAATAATTAGTTCTCTAAAATTATGCCCTCATTATTTTTTTTCTCCCCTTCTCTGGCTGCGTTCGCTTCCCCGAGTTTGGAGTCGAGAATGCACCCACACATTTCTCTGTCTGCTTCCGCGCCGGTGATAGGCTTGTTTTTCTCTCCCCCCAGTTCTCCTCCTCCTCCTCTTTCTGCTTGTGTAATTTATCAACATCATTTTTTGCCATTTGAGGTTAATTATACAGCGAGGCTTGCAGAGCAGAGTAGAGGAGACATGGGTGGCAGACAAATGCTTCTCTAATTGAACAAAACGCAAAAAAAAGCAGCCGCCTTATTCTGTTTCATTCCACTCTTTGAGGCAGTGATCAGAGTGATTGAGAGACCCAGGAAAATTATATGCTCTGTTGTCACAGGAATGACTGTTTTATCGAGTTTAGGTGTAAAAATGTAAGTTGTTGCTACCCGGGCTTAAAAAAGTGGCTACTGTATTTTTACAGAAGCTGGAGGCTTTAACTTGGATGAATTAAAAGCAAATATTAAAGAAAGAAAAACAAATAAAACTTCAAGAATTGCTATAAGATTTGACTTTACTGGAAATATTAGAAAAGAGCAGAAAAACTGCATAGAAGAGACCAGCAGAAACCTTAAGATTGAATGAGAGTTTATGTTGAAGAATGATCTAGATCAAACCTGAATAAAGCATCAAGACTAGTTTCTCCACAGAAATGACTAACTTATACCAAACATTGGCTCTTCTATTTAGAATTTAATCACTTTTAGTAATTGGGTTTAAATCATCTTCCCTTTAAAATCTCATTTTATTAAACATGACTCAATTAATGGTGTAATGTTTTTATTTTTTCTAGTGGTGGGTTTATACTGTACTGACAACTGGTGAGAATTGTATTTTAATAAACTGATAGAGGAATACATTTAATAATAAAATTAAGTCATCTTTTTCAGCCCTAACATTGAACATACTTTCTCAACAGAATCACAGATTCTATTAGTTAAATAAGTGTACAAATAAATGCAAAATAGATAGCAAATATAGGGGTTTAATATTTGAAGGTTATTCGAGGTACAATTCTTTCTATATGCAAATAATCTAGAAATATAAAATTGAGAAAAGAAAGAACATGCAACCAACACTTGAATTTATTATTAACACTGTGCTAACTATTGGATCCAGTTGCAGCCTTTGAGTTTTTATACTTCGCTCAACCCTACTTCCCTGTATGTTTAATGCTGCTATTATTTCTTCTTCTGCTGCTATTCCTGCTGCACAGGGACACTGTTTTCTCAATACAACAGTATTAAACTGCAGAGATTTAAATTTTGTTTTCACTTGGACCTGGAAACTATGAAACACCCTAGGATGTGTGTAAGGTTTACTCTAGTGCATAAAGCCGACGGATTTAGCAAAAGTTTTGCGCAAACTACAATATCAATTTAATCTGCTAACAAGGTATTTTGTCTTTACTAAAAGTGTCAAACAGCAAGGGTAAAGGTTTAGAAATAAAGTTTAATAAGAGCCGCAAGTTTAAAAAGAATCAAACTGTCAAAAGCATTAAGAAAATTAATTTTAAAGAGTGATGGTCATATTAGATTATGCAGTTGTTGCTTTATGGCATTAGAGGCTCTTACGGCTTATACACACAGCTATGAAAGCTTAAGTCATGGAAGCACCATTATTAACAGAAAGAAACAAACATAATTCAAATGCAAGAATATCAGCCTGCTTTATTTGGTTGAGGCATTTAATTGGTCTGTAAGAGTTTGAAATGAAGAGTGAAGCAACATAACCCAAAAGTTGAAAAGATTAGTAAGGAAGGAATGATAAAAACCTTAATGTGATGAAGGCAGGTGGTCACATGAGAGGAAGAAGGAAAATAAAAAGGATAATGGGGAAATAAAATGTGACGGAGCCTCATTTGCCTTCAAAGAAAAAAAAATACGGCAATTAGAAACCTTAGAAAAGGTCCTAAATTATAAGTAGCGATGATACATCTTTATTTTTCTATATCAGTTCTAGAAGACTAATCAAATATTAAAGAGTTAACTAGCGTATTCTCTGCATGCAAAGACAGAAACTCCCCCTCCTTATTTTTCCGAGCAAATTGCATGCAGCATCTTTCCCAGGGTAAATTGGGACCTCTTTCCTCACTGATAAGGGCATTTCTGAGCGCCGCATTAAAGCGAGACGTTCCAGCAATAATGAGGATATTCAACCTTTAGCGAGGTGTCTCGGATCTGGGTAAACACAGATAGAAGGCGGTCCAACGGAGGTTATCGCCATGGCGGCCTTCCCTTAAACACAAACTGCACCCCCAAGGCTAACAAACAAACAAATCATTAAAAATGTACAAGGCTTGTTCATAAAACGGATTGATTTGCTCCGATTATGAGTATCAAAGGAGGGGTTGCTCTGCTTTTTTGTGGTTTTATGACTCATTATAGCGTCTCCAGCAGTAAATATGTAACTTTTTTAGCACAGTTGTTTGGTTTTACCTGTTGTAATGCATTTATCCTGACAAAGACCTGCCTCCTTTAAGCATCACCACTAAAAGTCAAGTGAAAGAATAATATTATTCTGAGGGAAAACTGATGATCTTGACCTAGTGCTGTGGCCCAGATGGTGGTGTATGTCTGAACAGCAGGCACAGAAACACTAATGTTCATAAAGTGGAGCTATGTGTGTTTGTGTGTGTGCAGCAGGAGAAGGAGGGGTGGTAAAAGCAGAGAGGAGAAAAAAAAAGAGAGCAAAAGTGAGGGAGAGAGATTTATTGTCTCATCTGAGCCCCTGTACCTTGTATTGTCCTTTCAGCATCTGTTCTTCCACTGCTGCGGTCACTCTCCATCTCAGGGGTCAGAGAGTCTGCGAGAGGAGAGGGATCACCGCCGTTAAACATGCCTGACATCCACCTATCAGAGCCCTACTTTCATAGCATCATTCATCGCAAACTAGAGAGTGAGCCATCCAGTTACAGCATGTCTCTGCTCAGTCTAACTATGTGCCTCTCTGTGTGATTATTTCCAACGATCAAAAACTACTGAAATCGTCTGTTTTTTATTACCACTGTACAGCATGTTGCTACCGGCTGTCCACTAAATCAGTTCCTGAACTTTTCTTAACCAGCTGATAGTATTAAAGTAAACCTTCAGCTTTTGAAATGTAAACCTTGTTTTAGTTGGGCTTTTTATTTTTATTGGCACCCCTGTTGTTAAAAAAATGTTGAAAAGTCTTAAAATGAATGTATCTCTTTTACAGTTTAATCGCACCTGGAAAAAAATGATAAAAATACAACATTTAATTTGAATAGATTTAAACTGATTGTTGTTTGTTTTTTTTAAGCTGATTTAAATGTTGAGAAATTGCTTTATCAGAAATTCACAATTTTCTCACTGCAAATAAATGAAATCTAAGTGAATCAATTTTTCTTAAAATAACTGCATCTTTTTTCTTCATTCAAGCTGGTAAATTAGACACTTTGCCAATCGAATAGGACAATTTACATTTAAATGAAGATGAAAACAATTGCCTTGTTGTATTTCAAGTGCATAATATATACAATTATCTTATTTTAAGGGCAATAACACTAATTCTACTGGCAGCCTATCTTATTTACCTGCTCAGATTAAAGGCAAACATACTTATTTTAAGAAATGTTTACTTGTGATAGATTTTGCATCCCTGCATTACACAGAGATCCATTTCTCCTCAAAATGGGAACAACATCAAAACCTTCTGTTTAACAAATTTCTAACCATTGTGATGGTAATCTTCTATTGATTCCTATTTACATATAAAGAGAAAATAGCTGTTTTGCTTAACTTAAAGTCAAAGTAAAGATGTCAAATAACTAACTTCTACTGAGAATGGTTGACCTTTGCATTAACTATAGCTGTTGTGATTACTTTAATTACACTAATAGCAGACTTTCTTCTTCAACATGGTGTTTCAAACAGTACCAGTGAGTTTTATAGTATCTACCACTTAAACCTACACAGGTTTAAACATCAACAGCCATTATTGGCTTGCAGTGTCTGCATCTTATCAGTCATTTGGTTACTCATATTTTGCTGCTGCCATCCTGCAACAAGGACCACAATAAAATATTATTTTCAAACTGTCACCAAGCACAGAGAGAATGATGATCAGATCAATAAAATCCCTTTAAATATATAGTTTCAAGCCTTTTTAAACATAATTTTTAAATGAGTGCCAGTAAATATAAGTGCTGAACACCTGTACTATAAATTTCCCCTTCAATCAATTATCTTATCTTTCAATCAAGTCTTTCTTAGTGCATATTTAGTTGATCCAGCTATTTAAAATTATTGTATTGACGATTTTTCTTGACAAATAAACAGATGCAATGATGTCACTTTGGGTGTTATAACAGGTCTAAAAGACTAGAAGATTAATGCTAAACGGTAAATCAATTAAGAAAATGATCAGAAGAATAAATCATGATCGAAACACATTTAGTTTCATAAAATGAGGTGGGACTCAAATTATAGGAGGTGATGATGAAGGAAAGCGACAATATTCCCCTGTTTTAATACAGTGCCTTGAAAAAATATTCCTATGCACTGAACTTCTGGCTGCATCAAAAATACTAATTTAATGCACTTTATTGGGATTTATGTGTCTGTCTAAAATAAAGATGAATATCATAGTTAAGTGGAATAGAAATGTATTCACTAATATCAATCTGAAAAGTGTGGCATGCATTCGTATTTAGCCTCCAGTAATCTGGCACCTATAAATAAAACACAAATACTCTGAATTCAAAAGTCAGAAGTAACCTGGTTTGTAGATAACCTGCAATTGTAGGTCATTTATTGTCCGTATAAATGCAGCTTTTCTGTGAATACTTCAGAGGTTTTTAAGAGAACATCAGGAAACAACTCTTCTTGAGAAGACAGGAACACAGCGCACATGTCAGGGGGACAGCAGGGGGCAGCGTTCAACACAGAGTTAGGTTATAAAACACTTTCCCAAGGTTTCAACATTGCTCACAGCAATGGTAACTCTGTCATCTAAAAATGAAGACTGTGGACCAACTATGACAGGAAAGCATTAACCATACAGGGGAGGAGGTCATGGAAGCTCTAGGGGAGCTGTAGGAATCCACAGCTCAGGTGGAAGAATCCACCAGAAAAAAGCTGCTCTACAAATATGCAATCCTAATATGTGGGGAACGCTTCCATAATATACATTAATTCATTGCAATCCCTTTTATAAACAGCTTTACCAATACTGTGTGATTGTTTTAGTTGGGGTTTGAATTCAAATCTTTAGCCTTAAATTTGCTTTGTGTTATAATATTTAATGTGCATGAGACTTTCTTGGTTAAATAGATTAAAGTAACTTTTAGTCGTGCACTAAACTAATCAGGCTGTGATGGAACAGCAGTAAGAAGAAACCCTGAGAATCATCAGCAGGGTAGGGAGCTTTTAAAACACACCCAATAAGGTGCTTTGGTCTAATAAGGTCAAAGCTTAACTGTTAAGCAAACTTAAACACTGTGTGTGAATCCGAAGTAAAGATACACGTCATCCTGATTTTCCTACTAATAGAGATGTATGGTAGTGGCAGCATCATACTGTGGAGAGGCTTTTCTTTAAAAGTTACAGGAAAGGAATGGAGAGAAAAAAAAGAGAAACTCTAAAAAAAAAAGATTTGGGAGAACTAAGTTTCACAATTCTGTGCTTCTTTGTGTTTTTCACATAAAAACCCAATAAAACTCAATGAGAGAATGAGGTAAGAAAATGTGAAGAAAATCAAGGCGTATGAATACTTTGCAAGGCGCTGCACAAACATCAGTATTATGTGGACATAGAGGAGACGGTTGGATATGATTGTTTGGGCGTTCTGACCGTTGAGGGAGCGCATGCTGTCTGAGGGCGATGGCTGCTTCAGAGTCTGCTCCACCTGCTCCCTCCTTTTGGATTCGTACTCCAGAGCCTCTTGCAGTTTCCTCTTGGCCTTCTTCTCCTTCTTCAGACGCTTCTGGATGATTGCTGGGAAGAAAAAAAATCAGAAAGACAATAAATGAGTTCTGGAAGTAAATTAAGTGAAGTATAATTTCTTTTTAATGGAAGTTTGATTTTTTTTTTTGCCCATATTCTGTCTGACAAAGATAATAGCCAGTTTTTTTCTTCCTGTCTTTGTCTTTTAAATCTAGCGCACAATTATAGAAACGTGAAAATCAATTAAACTTAAATATTTTATAATATATAAAGATTTAAATGAGAAACTCGGAGCAAATACTGACTCGCTAGAGGGAATTGAAGCTAATTGAAAAATTTATTGGGATATTTTTCATGAATTTCTCTCATTAAACATAAACGATCCGGTTAGCGTACGACTCTGATGCATTTTACATGAGGGTTAGTGCGAGTCTGGATGGGATGTGTATTTTCAATTATGTTAACAGACTAGGAACAGAAAAACCTATCACTTTCATGTGTAACCCAACTGGCTCAGAGTGGCTTATGTGTGTCTCAGCAACACAAAAGATCGTGTAAGTACATTCAGGAGCTACTGTATCTAAATGAGCACAGAAGTCTGAATGGGAGCTCACGGGGTTACGCATGTCTGCCCCCCACGTACACACCCGCACCCCCACACACATGCAGCTAACAGGGAGGATAGCATGTAAGGTGGTACCTCTATTCTTCTGCTCCATGGCGAGCTGCTTCTCCAGTGTCTCCCTGAGCTCCCTCTCTCTAAACAGCTCCATCTTCAGCTCCGTCTTCTCCAGCTGCACCTGCTTCTCCTGAGCCCGAGCATTGTCAATCGCCACTTTGAGGAGGCCCTGCAAGTACCAAAAAAAAAAAAACAAGACAAAAAAAAAAACAGATATGCATATAAATCAGAGCTACTTTAGTGAAGCAGGACCAAGACCTGACCAATGTTTTGTGCTTCCATTGAGGAGGGTTTAAAACTGGCAGTTTTTTCTTTATCTATAGGAGCACTAATGCAGATCTAAAAAATTTATTCTGCAATGCTCACTGGATTTCTTTAAATATAACTAATACAAAAGTGATTGGATACATCTGACGCCCTTTGGTGGAAGCAAACAATTGCCAGTGTGACCAAAGCTTAATGTGACTTTTTTATTTTTGTGGTAGTTCAGCATAAAACAATACACCGCTAAGAAGTGGAAGGACCATAAAACATGACTTTTAAAGGTATAAAGTTGATGATCGCAGAATTTTTCCATCTTATATGAGTTTGATCCTTTTAACAAAGAACAGGTTAAAGGTTCAGCCAGTTTTGGTTGAAACTTTACCCAAAAGAATTGCAGCTGTAAGTTCAATAGGCAGTGGTTCTAAAAATGACAAACAATGCAGATACAAACTATAAACCATTTGATTTTAATTTAATTGTACTGCTTTATGTTGCTCTATCACAAGAAACTCTGATTGAAACCGCTGAAGTTTTGACTGTACTGGATAAAAAAGAAGCCTTCAATTCTTTTGCAAGGTGCTTGAAAGGGACATAAAAAAGAAATTATATAAATTATACTTCACTAAGAACTGTCGGCAGGGGAATTAAAGACTTTTTTTGTAAAAAAAAAAAAAAAAAAAGTAAAAAGAAAAAAAAAGTGTTAAACTACTTATGTTTAATCTCCCCTAAAACCTACCCTTTAAAGCAATTTACACATAAAGGATTTTTGTAAACAGACAACAAATTGTCAGCTAACATTGAAACCATACTCTTTTCAGCCGCTTAGATTTTGAAGTGAGGTTCTGTTGAGTATCTACAAGTAATCGGGTGATCATTTTGACTGAATGATCTCAGTAAGGAAAATCTGAGAATACATGTTACACAAAAGTAATTCATTGAAGAAAATGCTTTAAAGAAATAAATATTATAATGGAAAAAAAGGCCAAGTGTCATAAAGGAATTCTTAAATCATTTCACCCACATATACAAGTTTTATATCAACATCCATTTATGTCTTTTTTTTCTATGTACAGTACAGCATATTAAACTATGTTATATCAAAATTTTAAATGATAAATACGTAGTAAAACTAATAATTGGTCCAGGTAGCGACTACTTCTAGGTTTCCTTCAACTGTTACTGAGTTAGGTATAACTCTTTTAAGGAATATTATAATTCAAGTTTAAAGACTAGATTACTGTATACCTAATGAATTATTAACGCACTCAAAAAACAAGATTCAACATTCTTAAAAACTCAAAAATATCTAACTATAGGTTTGTATTATTTGGGTCTTTTTCTTCAATCTCAAATTAGATCGCTGGAATCGAAATCATTTTTTGCCCGTTACCTGAATTACATCAATGTGTAGTTATGCATCATACTAGTATTATATTAACATTCAACAGCAAATTCATAAAGTAATGGTAGTTAGTGGCTATAAGGAAGTTTTTAAAAAAATCTATCTTTGATTATATGAATAAATAATTAGGAATTAGTATGAAAATCTATCATCCAATATTTATGCATGTGAGCATGGTGCTTTTATACAGTAAGGTTTTTAACAGAACAGTGAGTGACAACAGGTTTTATCCAGCAGTTTGAGTCTATACTTTGTTAAATATAAACTCTGCCATGACAAGTTGGGGGTAGCAATTAAGGTAACAGCCTTTGGATTTTAATTATAACCAACAACTACAACCCTAACATTGCAAGCAAGCTGAATTCTACCAGTAGAATACACCTTGTCCCGCTCCCAATTCAACAGACCCAAAACAGCTTAGCCAATTACATTACTGTAAAACAACATGGTTTAAGACGGGACATATACACTATATTGCCAAAAGTATTTGCTCACCCATCCAAATTATTGGAATCAGGTGTTCCAATCACTTCCATGGCCACAGGTGTATAAATTCAAGCACCTAGGCATGCAGACTGTTTTTACAAACATTTGTGAAAGAATGGGTCGCTCTCAGGAGCTCAGTGAATTCCAGCGTGGAACTGTGATAGGATGCCACCTGTGCAACAAATCCAGTCGTGAAATTTCCTCGCTCCTAAATATTCCACAGTCAACTGTCAGCTGTATTATAAGAAAATGGAAGTGTTTGGGAACGACAGCAACTCAGCCACGAAGTGGTAGGCCACGTAAACTGACGGAGCGGGGTCAGCGGATGCTGACGCGCATAGTGCGAAGAGGTCGCCAACTTTCTGCAGAGTCAATCACTACAGACCTCCAAACTTCATGTGGCCTTCAGATTAGCTCAAGAACAGTGCGCAGAGAGCTTCATGGAATGGGTTTCCATGGTCGAGCAGCTGCATCCAAGCCATACATCACCAAGTGCAATGCAAAGCGTCGGATGCGGTGGTGTAAAGCACGCCGCCACTGGACTCTAGAGCAGTGGAGACGCGTTCTCTGGAGTGACGAATCGCGCTTCTCCATCTGGCAATCTGATGGACGGGTCTGGGTTTGGCGGTTGCCAGGAGAACGGTACTTGTCTGACTGCATTGTGCCAAGTGTAAAGTTTGGTGGAGGGGGGATTATGGTGTGGGGTTGTTTTTCAGGAGCTGGGCTTGGCCCCTTAGTTCCAGTGAAAGGAACTCTGAATGCTTCAGCATACCAAGACATTTTGGACAATTCCATGCTCCCAACTTTGTGGGAACAGTTTGGAGCTGGCCCCTTCCTCTTCCAACATGACTGTGCACCAGTGCACAAAGCAAGGTCCATAAAGACATGGATGACAGAGTCTGGTGTGGATGAACTTGACTGGCCTGCACAGAGTCCTGACTTCAACCCGATAGAACACCTTTGGGATGAATTAGAGCGGAGACTGAGAGCCAGGCCTTCTCGTCCAACATCAGTGTGCGACCTCACAAATGCGCTTCTGGAAGAATGGTCAAAAATTCCCATAAACACACTCCTAAACCTTGTGGACAGCCTTCCCAGAAGAGTTGAAGCTGTTCTAGCTGCAAAGGGTGGACCGACGTCATATTGAACCCTATGGATTAGGAACGGGATGTCACTTAAGCTCATATGTGAGTCAAGGCAGGTGAGCAAATACTTTTGGCAATATAGTGTAGCTGCGATGAGAGCAAGAGCTGCTGAACCAACAGCCAAACCAAAATAAACATGGAGGACGTACATGGAGCTGCTGCTATTACATCTATCTTTGAAAGACGAACAGCAAGAGCTAAAAAAGCAGATCTTATTGATGTTTCTCATGGCATTTGCTGCTTTTGTATTTTTAAGTGAGATTGGTTATAACTAATCTTTGGTAGGCAGGCAGTAGGGGGTCACTTTGCACAATCAGCCCAGAAGGTTCTGCTAAATTTCTCTCCTTTGCATTTTGAACAGATTTGATCAAAGCTTTCCCAGATTAACAATATGCATTATATATCGGGCTTGCCAGGTTACTACAATCTTTTTCAGAGAAGATTTGGAAGGATGGTTGACTTGAGTCTGAAATCTGGTAATAAAGTCACATTTGAGTTTTTTAAAAGAGTTTGGAGAAATCAGGGGACATCTGGTTGTATTGCTTGCTGCAATCGGAAATTTTGATATAAGCGTGAAATTAGAATACAGCCTCCCTCCCTGACAGGGATGTGCGCTAGCCTGAATCATTTGTAAGTTTTTTAGAAAATGATCGAGTCTAAATTCCTGATCCAACTACAACACATTTGGAAATTATTTATTACTCAGAAGTAAAACACACTAAACAAAAACATCATATATAATAAAAGCAACAACACCAAAAAACAGAATCACACCTTAATTGAAAATGTGATAATATTTAACATGCTAAAATCTAAAATTTAGATGAGTTATGATTTTTAACTTAGACCCTGCAGGAATCATACAGTAGGTGGAATTAAAAGTACATTTTAAGCCAACAGCAACAACTTCATCTTAGTAAATATCATTGAAAGGAAATAAAACTACCTTCAATTTGCATAAAAAGTGAAAATAAGATTGAAAAGATGAAAAATAAAAAGCAATCCAATAAATTTCATTTGATCTCTATTTTTTTTTTTAAGATGTTACTGTTAAGTAAATAGGCATAGCATGTTTCACCTTCTATAGTTTAGCTGCTTTGGGGGGTGTAAAAAGGAAATGAGTAAAGTGCCTAGTCTATCATGAAATGGAGCTATATAAATAAAACAAACAAATTAAAAAAATTACAATGACTAGACAGCCTAAAATATCCAGAAAACAAATGAAAAAATCCCGCTTCATGGTAGCTCATTTATATGGTTTATTCATAAACTTTTAAACTGTCAATTACACAGTAAGTTAAAAATACAGCCGTTTAGTTATCTGTTAAAAATTGTTCATCATGGTCCCAATTTAGACAACTGTTATCTCGGGCCTCTCACAGATATCAGCCACATTCTTCAAATTAACATCCCTCTGATTGCTCTCTGCTGCAGATAAAAATTTGTTTGTACTACCCCTTTAAGAGTAACATGACCAGTTTCATCACAATTACTCCCCATCCCCATGCAATGACATCAGATGCACTGGACTATAGCGTACTAATTGTTGATTCTTCTAACCCCAATTTTACTAAGTTGCTTTATCTTAATTTTCTGCTTGGTTTCATTGTGTTGATTTGTATATAAATATTCACTGCGAGGATCATTATCAAAGATGACTAAGAGGAGTGTTGGGAGCTCACGACGGGCTCAGTTGTGACTCTCTAATTACTGCGCGGAGCCAAAGGAGAAGCAGGACCCTGATGCCAACAGAAGAAGTGCAACGAGAAGGGCAGCGGGGTACACACATCATTACACCCAGAGAGACAGCAAATGCATTCATCTTTCTGATTGAGGGGCTTTGAGCTAAAGCCTAAACAGCACTCCGAGTGTGAGTGGATCTCTGCTCCCTGTGTGCTGAATGAAATTGTGGGAAGATGTTGATGACATTTCAAGGCAGAATTTGCTTTTACACAAGCATGATAACAACATGAGTCAAAGCCTTAAAATTTGGACAAACTCTTGGACTGATGTATCTGGCAGAAACACTGTAGGTTTTTATACTCCAGTGGGCAATTTGTACTTTCCCTTTCAATGGTATCAAAACCCAAGACTTTATTTTACCTAATATAATGATCCTCGCCGTAAACATTTATATACATATAAACACAATGAAAACAAACAAAACATTTACTGCTTTGGACCCCTTTGTTTTTATCTATATACTTGATTTTAAAACCAGTCATGTTCTTACCTTTTCAAAAAAAATTAAAGGTGTAGTGGAGGATGTTCTTTTTTCGGATGGATCATCTACATAAGTGGTCCTCCTAATTGTCAATCATTCTGGTGATATGTTTACGTAAGGCCGTCCTACGTGCTCATCCCCATTTTCACTTACCGGTGCTGAGTCTGACATAGTGGAAAAAATTGCAAATCTTCTTTAGGAAAGTAAGCTTACATGAGCGATGCAAACAGCAACTTTTAAACAGAGCGTGCTTGAGGAGAAATGGGCTTGTGCACGCTCTCGCACGCGTTTAATAGGTGTTTCCTCTCTAGAGCGGGTACAGGGTTGTGCATGTGCATTTTTTTTGTGTGGTGATGGTGGGTCTTTTCAAAAATTTGTGAAAATCCTCCACTATACCTTTAATTATGAGAGTTTGCTGATGTTTTACATCAAACAGCTTTATGTTGGAGTCCAGCTGTAGGATTTCTAAAATGGATGTTTGTCAATATGAACAATACTGACAGAAGTTGTAAATTAAGAAAAGAACATCTAGAATAACTTTTTTTGTATATTTAAGTTTTTCTGTGTCAGATAATTTGCCAGCTCAATCATACTACATATATGGCGCTCTGTTGTTTTTTCAACACAGGAGTTCTTGAGAGCTCTGTGTTAGTTAGCTGTGGGTTTATATAAATAATTTTATAATTTTTTTTTATAGTCAGTCTTTTTGACAATTATTTTAAATACCATATTTTCATGCAAACAACATATCCATCTTAATCCTCAAGAGAAATTGAAAACCTCAAGCATCTTCATTTGGCCAGATGTTCCAGTTAAATTTAACACAGCTTCCATTGTTAAACATAGAAAAAGTATCTACACACTATCAACATATTCTATTTTTGAGATGTTTTCAAGTTAAAACCCAGATATATTTTTAATTTTTTTTACTTCAGGTAAGGAATTACCTGTAAAGGATTAGTTTTGCCTTTGCTGGATTATGGTCTATTATCTACATATTGTGTAAGAATGCAACTGGTCAGTACCTTGGCAGTGGCTGTTTTATTTGGAATATTTTAGATAGTTGTGGAAATCATGATTATTTTCTGTAATATGCTATCTTATTTCAATTATTTCCCATTGGGTCTTACATACAGCTCTCTGCTTGGGCACTCTATCTGCCCACTTCTTATCTATGTGTTTTTATATGCAAATACAGAACATAAGGTCTTAAAATTCTTGGAATTCTTAACCTCTGGAAAGTTTAGGGTTATTTTAACAGATCAGGAGCAAAGTTCAGTCATCCATAAACCTTACCTTATAAAAGTATGTCTGTATTTGATGTGGATTGTATGGTCCTTTTTTTACATATACTTTGGCAGTTAATTTGCTTGATCTGAATAATAATTGCAGTTATTGTGTATTTCCTTAGTTGTTGCATTTCATTTATGTTTTCCTTTAGATCATTTTAAAAGATAACAAGTAATATAGCATGCTATCATTGTGAAAGGAGAAATTTGAAACGACTGAAACTTGGACAAGATGCTAAAGCTCCAATGAGGTGTAACTCATGCAGTACCTGTATGTTGGTGAGAAGAGTCTCTATTGATGACAGGCCATCTGGGAAGAGAAATGGTGATGGGAAACCTGGAGGCAGAGTCTGTCCAGCCAATGACAACCTCTCATAGCTGTCTCTAGCGGTTGGGGTGCACATGGAGTTGTCCTCTGCAAAGGAAAGTTAGATCAAACATTCAGAATTTTTTTTTATCATTTTCGCAGGTAAGGAATAGGAAAAGTTGGTACAGTGTGTGGGTCTCATTTGGTCTGACTGGAAAGTATAGACAAATCGGAATGTGGTGTTCTCCAGGGGCTAATCAAATGTTGATCTCTATGCAAACTATATATAAAAAGAACAATGAACTGATAGTTCTCCTGGAGATTCTGTTGTGCTGATTCTTCCCAAGCCCTTTTGCCTAAGGGGTTAAACAACAGGAAACAAGACATAAATCCAGCTAGCCCTATGTACTCTAAGAGTTGTCATGCCGATTCCAAGAATGAGGGAACAGTGCCGGCAGTTTGACCCCAGAGACTCGGTTTTGCTTTGTGCGTGCACGCTCGGGTGCCTGTCAAACCTAAGATGACATCATTCTCCATTCATCACTGGCGAGGGGTAGAGCCCTGCCATCTGCTGTCCAGCCTTACTATCGGGCCGCAGAAGAGAGTAACTGGAGCAGAGGAGGGAGGGAGGGAAGGAAGGCAGGAGGCAGAGCAGGCACATGTACAGCTTGCCTAAACTAAAACAGTATGTCAGACACTGACACATCAGATCTGACACATGTTTTCGTCTGGTGAGCTTTTATGAAGCCAAGAGCTTGTAAGTGCTACCATCCTGGTGAAAGACAGATTATGAACACGGGCAAGTGTGTACTATTAATTCTTCAAATGCTAATTCAATGCAAGTTTAGGGGGGGTGATATTAGGTGAAAAATCTGGAGGTTTCTGCTCTCATCCAGTATTCATATCTGTTTATGTGGCAGCCTGAATCTTGTACAAACAGGCGAGTGAAGCTGAACAGCCCCCGCCGCTTCTCTCTCTCCCTCCTCCCATCAATATTCACCAGCGCCAGCCAAGTGCTGGGAACAGCTGGTCTTACATTAATTAGTTTAAAGTATTTATTTCACCCATCCTCAGAGCAGATTGAGCAAAAACATTGGAGATTATTTCAAGCATCTGCAAATGCCTTGGAAACATCCCGGCGCCAAAAGTCGAGTGCTCAGATTCACAGTTTAGGTTTGTAATTTGGACAACACTTTTTTCTCTCTCTCTCTCCCCCGCTCTCTGAATGGGGAAGTTGGTAAAATACGCACCGCTGGTCCGTGGAGAGATCAAACAACCTTTCTCCTTTTTCAGATGGAGTTCACTACTGTTGATTAATTAGAATGGATGGTTGCCTAATGGATTAAAATTTGTTTATAATTTGACTTCATAAAAATAATGAATTGCCTACTTTTAAGAAGCCTCTCCTGTGGTAATTTATTTCGTCTGCAGCAGTCCTGTTTTTGCTTTTCTGTGGTGGGCGTTGATTTTCGGAGATGTGAAATGCACTCTACCTGCACAGTGGAGCTACATGAAAGACCCATTTTTTCTGATAAACGTATCTAATCAAAGATCAAAAGCATTACTGCTGGCTCCAGCTCAGGTTGATATAGACGTACCGTGTGCATTATATATATGCATGCATCACCCACCTCCAATGAAATCACCATAACAACTAGAGACGTTAGTAGACCTTAGGGAAAGGTTTGCAGTTCTGGCTTTGTAATTGATTTGTACTGTAGGCACTTTGTCCCTTATTTAGTGTTGGCATTAATCATAAATCATTGCTTTAACAAACTCCAGCTTCCCACTCAGCAGGCCTCGCCTCCCAACACAATGTTGGATCACAGGGAATATTTGATGGCTTTGTTGCAGGGGGAAACAACCTGTCATGCTCTGGGAAAAGCAAACAGAGAGTTGTGTTCAACAGACTCCCAGCCACCGTGCAGCACCTCTTGTCAGATAACATTTCCACCAGGAGCGATGCATAAGTAGTGGCGTTTGGTAAAGGAAAGAAATACAGAGCTAATAGGTGGCTAATTTAATCAATGCAATCAGAAAGCTCTTAATGGAACTAAATGTAAATTACAACAAAACAAGATCCGGACCTGCAGTTTCAAGGCAAGTCAAATAATGCTGCACCCTACAAACTGTAGCCAGTCCCTGCAAACAGTATTTTAACACTTTTAAGGTACCAGCATCTAAAAAAAAATCAAGGTTTCAAAACTGCTGACATTTACAAAACTTTTCCTACTTTTTTTTTTTTTTTGCCAGAGTTAACTCATTTTAAGCTAATGTATTAAAATTACACATGACTAAGCTGTGTAGAAGCTCAGTGCAGGCTACCACAGAATCAGGAATATCAGAAATTCTAAAGTTGTAATATTCTCCACAATAAGGCAAATTTTCCTGAAAACTGCTTTTAAATTCCAAAGTTGTTTATTGTAATGGTCTTTGCTTTGAAAAAATTATTAATTGACAGCAACGTATTTTTTGTTATATTGATGTTGAAGGTTTTTAAGAATTAAAGACAAATACTGCATTTTCTTCTCTATGAACTTACTGAAATATGTAGTGTAATGCTGCGGGTTTTTCTTTGATAAAAATCAACATATGCCTATTATGAAGTATATAAATTCACATATCTACGAGCCCTTTAAGTAAGGATTTTAATAAGCATAAAATGATGAAACCATTATATTTTTACTCACTGTTATCATACAGTGAGAACCCAGCACCAGCCAATCCCTGTAGGTCCTCTTTATTTTCCTCCCTCTGCCTGGTTGCAAACCTTGGCATGTGTTTGCATGTTTACTTCACAGCATCACTTCGCCATCATTGACTTCAACTTAATTACAGCGACAGGCGTTGGGAGTGATGGGGGCCAGTGGAGTAGAGTGGAGCGCTCTGTTTCCAGGTGATATTTCTATGCCGACTAGACTGCCAGCAGATGATGTGAAAGCCTATGGTGGTTACCGTACGGTAAAGTTACAGTTAGAACCCCTCCAAATATGAAATACTGCATATATATATATATATATATATATATATATAATAAAAAAAAAAAACCTCACAGGTCACCCCTGTCAGAAATAACATTTCATGCACAACTGTTTCCATGGATAATAGGAGCCACAAATAAAAATGAGCCGTTGTAAATACAATGCATTCTGAATAAAATGCCATAATTTAAAAACAACAGCAGCACCCCTCCCCTCAACACTCCGTCCGCCGCCTCCACCGGTGCTCTCAATAGCTGCAGAGGGAGTCCTTGACAGTGTGGTAGCAATGATGAATCACCTATCCAGTTAATTTTCTCACTCCTCATGTGTTATGCTACTAAAACAGGAGCCCAAGAATTGGCTTGACAAAGTATGAATGTGAAAAAAAAAATCACTTGGAGGGATCACGGCTTATCTCCAATTTACATGTTATTAGATTTGCGTTTCGAGCGGCATTTGGACCTTAGAAGAAAAAAAAATAAAATAAACGGAAGAGAGGATGATAACCAGAGATAAGAGATGTAAGAAAGAAAAAAAAACACTCAAAAGCCTTTGAAATGTTTGACAGAAAAGTCACAGGGAGTGGAGGGAAGTGGCCTGATTCGAAAATGTGACAGACACACATTGCAATCTGTTGTAAATCTAGAAGAAACCTTGGGAAATTTAGCTGCAATCTCTGGATAAATAGCTGTAATTGACCTTGGGAGTTGAAAATGTGCCATATGTTTCTGGTTCCTGTGTTTGAAACTGGTTCCCTCAGGACGTTTATACTGAGCAAATTCAGAGAGAGCTGTAGGAAAGGAAGATAGGCAGGGAGGGAGAGAGAGAGGACCGGAAGAATGAAGGGAATGAGAGGTAGATGATTGAAGATGGATAGATGGGTGAGGCTTAGTCTAGGGTGGTGGAGGCTTTAACAGAATAAGTGAAAGGAAGGAAGAAAGAAAGAAAGAAAGAAAGAAAGAAAGAAAGAAAGAAAGAGAGGGAGGGAGAGCCTTCTTGCAGGCCAGTATGTGATATATTGACAGGTGAAGCCTTTGTCCTTGCAAAGCTATGTTCCTCCCAGCAGGGGAAGCAAATGCTAAACCTGGATGTTGTCAGCTAAGCCAAACACGCAAGGCTTAGCCATTCTGCTTTTCACCGTGCAATTACATTTGATTTGAACAGCCTCCCCTTTTCAAATGGAGCAGTTATGACCTCTTGGACGGCCATTAGCCGCTAACGCAGCATTATTCCACCTGCACTTAAAGGCACCGGATTTGGAAAAATCATGTCAAGGGAGATATTTGTCTTCAGCTACTAGTTCATAGATGCAGGGTGGGGGAAAAAAAGTGTTTGCATGCAATTTGAGCACTTAGCTTATCTTGCACATAAGGTCTGCAGTCTGAAGAATGGGGAAGAATAAGGGAAGAAAATTGTTGAAGCTAAGTTAATGTACTAAGCATGATGATGACTGTTATTTATTTATTTTTTATTCCAGAGAAGCAGATCCCACTTCACTGCAAAAACAATCTAAAAATAAGTAAAAATCTCTTAAATTAAGTGTATTTACCTTTAATTTGAGTAGGTAAATAAGATGATCTGCCAATAGAATGAGCATTTTTACTCTTAAAATAAGATAATTAGATAATATGCGCTTGAAATTCTTATTTTTCTTATTTTAAATTTAAATTGTCTTGTTCCATTGGCAAAGTGTCTCACTTACATCCTCAATTCAAGACCAAATGCACTTAATTTAAAGCTACAGTGTGTAATAATTACAGGGATATACAGTCAGAAATGTAATATATTATACATAACTATGTTATTTTATCATCATCTACGAGCTCAGCCTCTTAACCTTAATATTTGCGTTGCCTTAGAATTCGTTATTTATAATTACATAGGAGCGGGTCTCGCAGCCATGGAGGCAGACATCTTTACGCTACGGCAGCGCAGAGCCAACAAACTAGTGATTGCGAGATCGCCAAAATGTCACAACGATGTAGAAAAAATAATGGGTATATTTATTATCTTAAGTCTACATGAAATCTATACCCTACACAGACTAATGAAATACTATCTGTAAAATTATCTATGTAAACAAACCTCATCACTTGAGAAGGTAGGTGATACGGACGTCAAGGAAGA